ATATTATATTTAATATTACCCCTCGTTATTAAATAATAAAATAGCGTAGCCCGGCCTCGCTCTATCTTTATAAACCTAAAGAATATATCTTTATCCGCTAATATTAACGTCGCTATTAAATATATTATTTATATACCGAACTCCTATATTACTGCGCCGACCTCGCGCAGCTTAGGCCAGAACGACCGCGTCCTTTTAAATACGACGTAATACTCGTTAACTATTATATAATCTAGCGCTTATTATAACTTAAGCCGTATTACAAAGTCCTAGAACCCCTTACTAATAGCGGACTTAGGTATTATAAAGATTACCGACGCCGCCTAGTTATTTTTATAGCTAAGCTATATATATAACGTAATACTAGCTTTTATATACTGCGCGTCCAAGTTTATTTATAGCGCCGTGAGCGGTATAATAATTACTATAATGCCGTTTAACGAGTAGAATATTAATAATATAAATAATAAACTCTTACTGCCGCCCGTATTTATAATCTATATAATAGGGCTATAGCCGTTAATAATAACGCAGACTACTTTCTTTTAATTACCCCGGAACGTTATTACGTCGTTATTTATTATTTACTGTAGCCGGTTTATTATATTGGCCTATTAAAGCCTAGCGAACTGCTATAGCCGGGCCTCGAAATAGACGTTATTATATAGCTCTATTTTCTGCTTCGCGCTATTACTCGTTCGGTTTTTTATTCTAAACTTTAAGAACCGGTATTATTATGCGCTAACTTTATAAAACTATTATTACTTAGCCGCTACGCCGCTACTAAACTAGACGAGTAGCTGTGCGTAAAGTATACTGGTAATATATATACTATATTTAGTTTATAAGTCCTACGGGTTATTACTTAGCTCGTTATTCTCCTCCTCCTCCTCCCCCTTCCTTTTAGGATCTTATTACCTAAACGCCTCGTTTAAAAACCGGTTTATAATCGCTATAGCGAAGTACTGCTATATATTTACGTTTAGTTTATTCTTGAGTAGTCGGGTATTATACTGTTATAAAATACGCTTAGCCCGGTCCGTTATTTATATTTAGTCCTTTTTTTAAATTTATGTCGCCCTGCCCTTATCCTCGTCCTCGTCCGCATCCGCGCTTATATTTATACCCGCGTCCGTCTTTTATTACCTATCGGAGTTATTAACGTCGGCGCCGGAGCCCCCGCTCTTTTTCCTTTATATTACTTCGTCTACTTATAAAAAGATATTATAATAATAAGCCTACTTAGAAATGCCGTCCGCCTTTTATTAGAACGGGAGTACGAGCTATAAATACTATATTAATAGCTCGCCCGCCTCTCTAAGTAAGTACTAGTAAATAATCTTGGTCTACCCGCTGCTCTAGTACCCCTTATAATACGACGTAACGAAATATATTATACCGTTATATATAAAAATATTCCTTACCCCGCCGTTAACTATATTAGCTACCCTTACCCCGCTAATCTCTATTACCCGCCCCGGCTACCCCCCTAATATATATATTAATAGCTAGAGCTATTTATAAAACTACTTAAATATACGCTTATATATACGTACCGCCTCGGCCTAGAACCCGCCGCCGCCGCTACCGTTTATTAACCCCTTTATACCCTACTCGAACCGCTTTACTTAGTACGCAGCGATATACTAAAATACTTATTTATCCCCTTCCTTTAGCTATATATTATAGTCGTTATTTAAAAACGAATAGTCCTCTTACGTTTCGCTATAGTTATCTTTAATCGAGGTTTAGTAAATATAAGGTAATAGTATATAGAGACGTTCCCCGGCCTAGGTTACGTCTACGTTTACGGTACTTTATCCGCCTCGGCCCGCCGTACTAACTACGACTATTATTAATTACGCTAATAGTTACTTAGCCTCGTTAATTACGCTATAGAATATATTTAATAGCTAGTCTATAGTAAACCGTATTTATCGATATACTATATAGTTATCTATTTAGTTAATTACGCCGCTAGCCGGTATATTATACTAAACGTATATCCTATACGTTTATATATTAAAAATCTAGTCCATTAGCGTCGGCTCGGCCTCGGGGGCCCCGGACGTACAGGTTATAAACCTCTATACTATACTTTATATATAAGCGAAGAGACTTTATACACCGTCGTCGGCCGCTTCTTTACCTACTATAACGGCTAGATAGGCGACGTCGTCCTACTTCCCTATCTATACCTTATAGACGACTAATATATATATAACTTTAATAACGGCTAAATACTTTAGTATATAGTCCGTAATATTTACTTAGCCGCCGTCGGCCCGGATACTTATTATAATAAGCGCGCTTATAAATACGTTTTTATAATACTTTTTTTTAAATTAGTAGTTAAGTATACCGATAAGTATATTAAGTACTACCCGCTAAAGTACTTTTAACGGCGTATTACTACCCCTACCCGCGGCGGCCCCGGCTAACTACTTAAACTCGTCCTATATATAGCCCTAGCTCTTTATATACCGGTACGGCGGCCTTTCGTCGTCTAAGAGCACCTACGTCCAGGACTATACGTATAACAGCACCCTCTAAACGTCCTTATATTATATTTACGTATCCTTCTCTATATAGTTATCGAACGGCTAAGTAGGTTTAACGTATACCTCTTTTTATTAAACCTTAAATAGCACCGCGTAGCCGACTTTATTTAGTATTAACGTAGCCCTAGCCCGCTCTAAGACCTCGTAAACCGATACCTATATTACTTATAGCACGTCCTCCTCGGCCTTATAAATCGGGGCTATAGCTTCGTAAAGCTAGCTAATACATAATCCGCTTAAATACTCTACTTAACCTACCTATTAGAGCCATAGATTCGGTTCTAGCTTATCGTTAGCTATATAAATAAGATCGTTATAGCTTACCCTAACCTATTTAGTATACTTTTTTTATAATTAATAAAGAGTTTCTATAGTTTATTACGACACTACTTTCTTAATTACTACGTCCGGCGCTATATTTAATAGCTAGCCGCGACTTATTTCGAACTATTAGCTTCTAGCCCGGGTTAAAAAGAACCGCTAGTATTATACGCCGGTCGTTTATAATATAGTACGTACCTCTTTTAATCTCGTACTAACATTATTACCCTTTTTTTAATTATTTACTTAACTATAATATCGCTAATAGTAATCCTATATTCGTTAGATTTAGCAACTAATATATAGGTATTAATAATACTAAATACTATCCGTTTACGGCGCAGCGAGATAGTTAATAGGGTTTACTATTAGTTCGGGATAGTATAGCTACTTAAGACTTGCTTAGCTCCTATATATATTTAATATATTAGAGACGGCTTTTATAATAATAATATAGCTAGACGCTAGTATATTACGGTACCGTATCTATAAATGCGTTACTATTTTATTATATATTATAGCGAACTAATAAGTTTTATAAATAGTAACTAAATACTCTTCATTAAATATAAACGGTTCTATTATATATAAAGATTCTATAAAAGTGCATAGCCTCGGGTATAATAATCGTAGGATAACACTATAATAAGTAGTATATATCTTTAGGAATAGTAAGCTATATTAATTATAATTAGAATTAAATACTATTAAGCGGGTAACTATTTTAATTATAACGTTATACTAGACGTTAGAACTATTCCCTCCCTTACTCGAGTATAGTCGTAGGCGCTATCTAGCCCGTAATTAGTCAAGCCCGCACCCCAACATAAAGACATAACAATCTTAACTATTACTTTATAATAGTACTATAAGAGTTAGATAATTATAAAGTTATGAGCATTATAAGCGAATTAAAACGAATCGATATATATCGGTTTCGTATAGTTTCCTTTAAGTTATGTTTATTAACTCTACCCTATAAATTCTCTATTAACTCTACCCCCCTGTTTTTACGCCCTATATTTCTTTTATTAAGCATCTTCTATTAACTCTATTATAGTTCGTCGTTTTTGCTAAGTTAGGCATCTTCTACTAACTTTACTATAGTTCGTCGTTTTCGCTAGGTTAGGTTTACGGGACTAGACTTTTAAAAAAAAGACTTAATATTATAATTTAATATATATAATTAAAATTAGGGCCCGCCCCGTAGGCCTATAGCGGCTATAACGTATTATATATATATTAAATAAAATAGATATATTATTTAAAAAAATAAAAGAACTATAGAATAAGTTATATATAGATAAAAAAGTAATTAAGTAATAAAGTAATTATAGTAATTATTTTAAATAAGCGTTTATTAAGATCTATTTAGTAATTATTAATAAATAGAATACGTATAGGATAAAGGATATATTTAGGAACGAGACTTATATATAATATAAATTTAAGCTAGGTTTAAAAATAGACTTTTTTATAGCTTTTTTAATAATTAACTTAATATTAAATCTTATAATTACTTTTAGCTATTTTTATTAAAAACCCCTTTTAATAAGATTATAATTAATTATTAAAGCCTTATTTATTTTATAATTTATAAATATAGCTTTAAAGAAGCTATTTACGACTATAATACTATTTATTTAGCTTTCGTAGCTTTAACTTCTATTAATATATTTACTATAACTAGCTAGCCATAATATTTAATTTAGATCGAAAATTAAGAATATAAATTAAAAAAGGGGCTAAAAAGTAAATTAAAAAAGCTTTTAGAGAATATATTAAGAAAATTAAATGAGTATATATAAGTAAGTAATTAAATATTAATATAAAAATTTATTAATATTATAAAGCTTATATAAAAGAGTAGTAAAGAAAAGGGAAAACTACGAACTAATATTTAGTTATAATGAGGTTAGTAAATGGGCGATCTAGTAACTGCAATGGGCTTGTTATTATATAAAAGCAGGTATAAAATACACGAAGGCCGCCTATTATTTGATAAGTATCGATAGATAGATACTCTTGGCAACGAGGGTGTGGGATTTATTAGTCAGCAGTGCAACCCCCTCTCCGAGGGATTTCTGCAAGCCATTCCAGACAGGCAGCCACTTCGATCCTTCACACAACTCACGAAAATCTTACAAGTGATTCGTCGTAAATGCCAGGAACAGACATTCACTAAGAGAGTATTAGACCAGCGCAGTATAAATGGCTGAATCCACTCCATCCGAAGACGGCACATTCGAGGATGTCAGCATCACAAGTAGCCAAGAGTCTTTGCGCCAGTTTGAAGATGACTTTTCGGGGTCCCACGACAGTCGCCGCGAAATCGTCAAGAGGCTTCACTATACTATCAACCTGCCACTCGTTAGCGAGAAGCGTATGAAGAAGCTCCAAAGTGCTCGGGAAGCTGCCGCCAACAACGCTGCCTTTACCCACGCCATCGTGGACCTTTTCCGAAGTTTGAGTGATTGGGAGACCGGCGACATCACTCTCGTCATTAGGGTCGCCTCTCCTTCGGATACAGACGAGGATCTGTTTGATTCCTTGACTAGCAGTCACTCTGGCAGCCCAATTTGGGATGTGCGTAACGACTTCAAGTATATCAGCTTCGACCAGACATCGGATACTAAGTCGGGCCTCGCACAAGTTCGGGCCATATCTAGTGTGGACTTTCGGGAAGACTTCAGCAATGTCAAAAGACGACTTGACCCCGCCTGCATCTCTACTATATCCCAAGTACTCCCCAACGTCAACGCTCTGACGTGGGACTGCATCATGCCCTCACGCCGCCTCGAGTCCTTAAGAAAGGAAACTCGTCTTGCTCTTGCAGAGACCTTGAAACACGGCGCTTTCACCAACCTCAAAAACCTCGACATCTATCTCGAAGATCCAGACCCGCTGAACGAAAGCTCTGATCCCGGGGCATTTTGCGCGAGTCCCGAGGAAGATGCTCTCTCGTTGGCTATTAGCAGAATCTTACAGCTACCTGCAATCGTCAACGTGCAGCTCACGGGTCTCTGGACTATCGCCCCTGCAGCTTTTGAGGCGGCAACGGACTTTGGGTCTTTATTAGAGGCAGTATATATTGAGGGTAGCGGAACAACCCCCGACGGGAAATGGCTCAGCATCGGGGAAGAGGACGATGTGGACCAGGATGAACCTGACTCAGACTCAGACGCTTCTGAGGCTGCTTTTGACTCTGCGGACTCGGATACATCCGACTTTGTTCCGGAGCATGAATGGGAACGGGAAGCAGGGAACTTTCCGATGAACTCGTGGAGAACTTCGATCGATACCGAGGTTTTGGTGCCTCACATACTACCTCTCGTGAGAACCACACTCAAGATGTCACCACTCCGAACTCTTAAATACGAGATTCAGACGCAGCCGTCGCCATTCTTCGTCGAGTATTATGCACCGGGAGTCGAAAATATCTCGGCGAAGAGGGAGTCAAATCTCCGCGGAGATTTCGAACGGGACAATGTCAGTCGGTCAAGATGGTTTCTCACGGTCGTGCAAGGCTTTGACCCGTCCTGGAAAGTGCCTCCTGACCTGATCAGCGCAATCGAGGAGACTGGTGGATGCATTTCCTGGGATGGACCTAGTTCTCTTGAATAGTCTCATGCAGATAAAAGAAGGGCTTGACTAATCGTCTCCTGATTGATGGTCTCGTCCCTGTGCTACTACAAGCGAGATGTCCACGATTTGACCTTGTCACGATTCAAAGAGGATACTTGCGTTGACAATTGACGTTTCATATTACACACACTAGTGTGAGGACCGAAGCCTCGAGTGTCTATTCTTTTCAAACAGACAGTGTGGAACTAACTTGATTACAAAGGTAGACTTCTGGACGACTGTACAGTACACAAACATCGTGTTGGTTCCATAAATCTAGCTATTCTTGAAGCTGTCTACGGCATTGGGTTCACCCATTTACCCTTGATCTCATCATCGTAGACCTTCCTTAGCGCTTGGATAGTGGCTCTCCTCTTCTTCCTGTCATCGTCATCCTTAGATGCGTCGGTACCCTGGAGGACCTTCTCCGCCGTCGGGATGTAAGTGTCCAGCAACTTGACCAGCTTGCCTCCTGCAACCTCGGCGCTGGTCTTGACAAAGCTGAGCCAACTCTGCTGGAGATTACGCTTCGTCCAGGTACCCTGGCTAACCAAGTGATCCTCCATGACGCTCAGGGCTACACCCACGCGATTGGCCTGATCGCGGTACAGCGTTGAGAGCTCGGGTTCAATGAGATACTTGAAGGTGACTACGGTGATCTTTAGCGTCCGGAGTGCTTGGTCTAGGGATGTGCCCTCCTTCCACTGGGCCTCCTTCTCCAAGCTGGCCTCTTCCTGGAGCCTCGCGCCGGAGCCAAAGGACTTTTGCTTCTGCCAGTTGACCGGCTCAATGACGGAGATGAATTCCTGAGGGAAGTACGTGGCCGATGGATAGGCCTGCTGGACAACCCAAGTGATCGGGTTGACCTTGGCTCCGTTGGCATCGAGAGGATCCGGGGTATAGTTCATCCATCCACCTGCTTTCATTGCTCGGCAGAGGTCCCTCACCCCACGTCCATCTGCGCCTTCGATACTCAGCCAGCGTGAAAAGGTCTGGGCTTCCAACACGTGCTCGATGACGTATTGCTCATTGTCGCCCTTCTTGTTTTTGAGAATCTGCTCACCCCTTTTCTGGATACTGCTGGCCACTGTGAACAGCGATGTCAGTTAACGTACTTGGCAGAACGAAAGAAGGGATAAGCTCAGTGTCAGTAATAACTAATACTTACTGTTCGAACAATCGGACCAGTCGTCGCTGTCGTAAATGAACATGTTCCCACGGTCTAACGAGGACCAATCCAGCCAGTTGACGTTATAGACTGCAGTGCCTGTGCAAACGGCAAGAGTTTTGCCGGCACGCTTCTCCAAGTCGCGGTCAAAGAGGCCCGACTGGTACGCGGGGTTCGTGCTCGAGTTGCCGTTGAAGTCATCGTCGGCGGCGACGGAGCGCTTGGTGACGGCGCCCCAAGAACCGTCGTCCTCGCCCTCGTAGAAGCCATCAACGGCCGTAATCTCATTGCAAGCCTTTTGCTCTTCGGCGCCGCCCTTGGGAGGGCATGTCTTCTCCTTGCTGTTGGGCTTCAAGTCTGATTCGTAGGGTATGATTCGCTTTTGCAGGTTGGGGGATGAGAAAGAAAATGGCTCGATGTCGGTGATCTCGGTCGAGTTGAAGCCAGAGTCTATCAGGCGTCGCTCAGTTGCGCCTGATGCACACTGCCATTCCTTGCCATTTCCGGGAATAAGGTTTTTCTCAATCTGAGTGACATGTGTCAGCACCATGGAACTTGTTCACTTGGACAGCCATCTCAGGGCCTAGTTACCTGCTTGAATGTGTGCGTCTGAGGAGTCCACTTGAATATCTCGGGAATTTTTGCCTGGGCGATAAGAGACATGCCGGCATCCACACCGTAGCCGAAGCCGCAGTCGAGGTCGGAATCGACCCTCATGCGGACCCAGGTGTCAGCCACGAGCTCGACATCGGTGGTAGCGATGCTCCAGACATCGTCGAACTCAAGACCGAAGACCATGGTGGGCATTAAATGAAATTCGACATCTCCATTGCCTTTCATCTCGGCATCAAAGGTGGGTTCGGCAAGGTCTCTCCTGTCGATGCCCCGCTTGGCCTCTGAAAGCTCCTTCGGATCAAACTTCTCAGTGTGTTGGGGGTAGGTCTGCTGGATGTCCCAGTCAACAATGTTGACTCTGGCTTCGACACGGCCCTCGACCGTGATGTCGGCCTTAATCTCTCCTCGAAGATCGAGGCGAGGACCAACTGAGTAATCCATCAGTGAGCTACTTCAATCTGCATTGTCTCTAAGACTTCGGAAGTTACTTACGAGAACCGAATCCAGGAATAACGAAACTGGCGCCCTGGAAATAGATGGGAGCAATGTTGAACGCTTCGGAGTCCCAGTGCAGTGACATTCTGGCGTCGAGAGTGAAGACAGCATTCACGCTTCCCTGTAAAAAGATCTTTAGTACATGCTTAAAGTCTCATGAATCCCACACCCAATGACAAATCATGCGTAAAAAGACCTGACAACAGCGGGGAAAATAGAACATACCTTATTAGCGAAATGCAAATAAGACTTGCTGAGATCCAGGCCAGTCTCAGAGTTGAGCGTCGTGATGAGGGCAAACCCGAAAGAAGTCGCCATCTTGATGCCGGCGGTCGCAACGGCGTCGATCTTGCCCTTGAACTCACCGCAGTCCCACTCATCTCGCAACAAGATTGCTGAAAGGTCTTCCTCGTAGAGGTGGCGCTTCTCCGTCTTGACGATCTCGACTTCGACGAGACTCTCCAACCACTCGAGGACGTCATCACCGAACCATCGCTTATGCAGGTCCTTCTTTGACAGACCGCCAAAGTGGTTATCGTCGCGCCATTCCTCTTCGAGCCATCTCTTGTGGTTGCCACCGAATTCTTCGAGGGATCTCTTGCGCTTCTTCGATACCGGACGGGTGACAATGTGGTCCCAGTAGCCTTCCTGATTTCTGTTGAGGACGGACGTTAGGATAGACCACTAAGTGTGAAGAATAGGGGGACTTACGAGTAATCGATACGGAGCTGTGTGTCACCGTACTGTCTGGGAACAAGCTTGAAGTTGTAGCCAAACTTGAGGTCGTAGATTACGGGCGGGCTTGCCGTTCGGCGACTGAGGTGTCCCGGCAACGTCTGGTTATGGGAAACCTCCAGGCTCTCAACGACGGCGTACTTGCCCGGTCCGCAGCCCTGATCTTGCGGCATCTCGATAATCGTCCCTGGTGCACCATTTCCGAGGAAAAGCTCTTTGCAATTGCTGTCCTCAGAATCGTTCATACACACCATCTGAACAGTTTGAGCGCCAAGAGAGTGAGCATCGTTGCAGTTGAAGAGCTCCCAGTGGGAGCCGTCGCGCTTGTCGAGGGTGACTTGGATCTCTGTAGGACTGGCCATGACGTAGAATTGGATCGCAGACTTGTTCGGATCGTCGTTGCTGCCGCCGGTTTGCGAGCCGCCCCAGGTGTCGTCTGTCTTTGTGTTGCCCTTGGTCTTGACATCGTTACCGGTTGGGGGATCTGGAAATAGGTCCTTCAGGGCCGCCGGGAGGAAGAGATTGGAGCCACTAGGCGGATCGCAGCAGAAAATACGCGCGCGATGAGGATCGGGATGCGGGAAGCACATCTCGCCACCACCAGCTCCGGCCCAGGTGAGCATAACCTCCGTGTTGAGGTCGCAGTGAGCGTCGAAGCAGCTTCCGGGCTTGCCCTTCCATTCGCAGTTCTTCCACTTCTTGAACTCTTCATCGTCGCAGCACCAGAGACTGATCTTCTTCCACGTGTATTCGTCTAAGGCATCTTCGAGCGCCGTACCGGTAAGACTCTGGAGATGTTTGAGATCGACATCCGGAGACTTTTCGCCAATGTTGCCGTTCCCGAACGCGCCAGAGAAGGTGAGTGCCTTTTGTCCGCTTGGGCACTTTTTCCCATTGTCGTGGAACCTGCACTTGTCGCCGTCGCTGTTCTCGGCCTTGGTTTTGCAGCAGTACATCTTGTTGCCGTCTTCACAGTACTTGCCGTCGCCCCATTTATTCATTTGGAGGCCGACCTCGCCAAATTCGCAACGGCCATTGCAGGTTGGTGCGTCGCCTTGGCTTCTCCTGTATGGCTATCAGCGACATGGTTTGAGACAACAGACAAAGGTGTCGGTCTTACCATTTACAGTCCTTCGGATCCGGTGCAGAATCGACGGGACAGCAAAGCGTGCTGTCTTCTTCAGAGGAGTGTCGGGTGAAGAACGTAGCATCCCCACACGGTTGAGTCGTGACGGCCTTGAAGCCAGCTTTGTCGCACTTGCCTCCACAACCAGTGACGTAGCAATTTTGGGCTCCTAGCTGCTCCCATGTGGCCGCTCCATCTTCAGAAAGGGTTTGTCGCAAAGCCAACGCCTTGGTGGTCGGGCCGACGACAGCACCAAGGGCGTCTAGGTTATCCGTGTCTTGGTCAATCTGGAAAGCAGTCAATACACAAGCATGATTCAAATGTGCATCCGTGTTCTTCTGGAAGCCAGACGGCATGGATATGCGGTGTATGATGGGTGTGCCAACTTACCGACCAGATCAGCAGGCCACCAAGACCCTGCTCGTTCGCAAAATCGATCTTGGCCTCGATGGTTTCAGGGTCATCCTAGAGAGAGTCAGTATCTGCCGTCCTTCACGAGTGCTGACATCATTTCGACGCGATAAAAGCTTTTTACATACGTAGCTGACCCATTGGTTCTGGTTCCAAACAATGTACTTGATCTGGTGTTCCTTGTCGTAGTACGGCTTGAGGTTGTGTTTCTTGATGATGTCCTCAATCTCACGGTACGCTAACGTTCCAGAATTTGCAGTGCACTGATTTCAATTTGTCAGTAAATAAATGAAGAACTCATCCATGCTCAAGTGCAAAAAGACCAACTTACCGGACCAGGAGCTGCACCCCCGCGGAACTGGCATCCAGGCTTGTTGCAAGCCGGGTCCGTCAGCTCGAAAGAGCGACCGTAGAAACCAATGCCAAGGTTGAGCTTCTCGGGAGGGATGTCATTGCGCCAGTACAGGTCAAGTGCGAGCTTGATCTCGGTGAGATTTGAGTGGGCGAGAACGTTGGAACCGATGGGGTTCCAGGCATCCCAAACGCCGTGAAGACTGTTTCAAGTTAGCCAGGCACTGTCAGATGATGTGTACACCCAGGAGTAGATGGTTCTCCCAGACCGGCAAGACAAGACATGGCTTAGAAGCTGTGACTTACTCGTAACCTGTGAAATCAGATCAGAAATCTTGGCTTCGAAAAGTCATGGGATGGCGAAGATGAAACACTTACTCATGATATTCACAAAGTCGACAGCGTCGGTGCTCGCCTTAAGATCGAAGTGTCGCAGGTACCAGAAGCTAGTCGGCGTAGTAAATGATACAACATAGTCAAGGGGCTGGTTCTTGATGGCCTCCTTAAGTTCCTTGAGTAGGAGTGTAAAGTTCTTACCATCTTCTTCGGCGCCGCCACGGTCATCAGCTCCTGGGTATTCCTTCGGGAAGATTATTAGCGAGTGGTAGAACGGAAAGTTGAAGCAGATCTCAAACATACCCAGTCGAAATCAACACCATCGAAACCATACTAGAATTTAACGTTAGCTAGAATGACCTAGATCAAGTTTCAAACCACTTAAATTACCTGGCGCATAAAGCTCATGAGATTGCCGATGAACTTGGATCGGTTTGCTTTACTGCTTGCAACATCGTGGAAGACCAGCTGGGTTGCACCAGGATCATTAAAGGTCCACCCTCCAAGCGCTACCATGACCTTGAGGGCTCGGTTCTGCTTCTTCATGGCGGTCATCTTGGAGAAGAGATTCGGCTCGAGGTCGTCCATTGGAACGATCTGGAAGCCGTTGGGCGAGACGTAGGCGAAGGAAAACATAAGATGAGTCAACGCCCCCACGGGCATTTGGTCGATCGACATGCCATTGCATGCTCGCGAGTGTACCCATGCCTCGTAGTAACCTTTTCAAGTCAGTGATCTAGCCTATTCGCTAATACAGTTGTAAGTAGAAGTAACGTACCAACAACTCTCTGACGGACATTTCCGTTGGATGATCCTGAGCCTGGCTGGTCGCAATTGCTTTGACAGCTGGTTTCTTCATCATCGGTCTTTTTGCAGAAGTCTTCGGTCATGCCACAAAAGCCGAATGGCGAGCAGCAACTGCACATAGAGACACCAAAATCAGCATCTACCTCGTTGGGTGATTGGAAAGTTGTGAAACTTACACGTTCAGAGGACACTCCTTGCCTTCCGTTTCGGCGTATCGACCACACTCTGCCTTTGCGTTGCAGTTGCTCCAGCATTTGTCATTGGGAGATTGGCCGTTTGTACCACAGGCCTCCGGACCGTAGTTGCACCACCCGGTCTTGGCACAGCAAGCGCCTGTTCATATATAAACGTCAACAAGAGCCATTTCACGTTGGAACAAAGACAAATACTAACCGTTGCCGCAAGGTCTGAACTCGTTGCAACTGTAGTCCTGTTCTTGAGTCACCTGGCGTCCCAAGAGCAGATCACGAGTCTGAATCGCTGCCTGTTCGATACTGGTAGGGCAAAGAGGAAGGTTTCGATCCTGTGCTGGTTTGACGGAATAGTCGAAAGGGCTGCCACAAAAGACATTAGAAAAACGTTAACTGTAAACAGAATTTCATCAACCCACTGGTAAGCTTCGTTACGGCATGTTGTGGTTGCCAATTCGGCTTTGGATGGGCCATCTCGGCTACCGGTTGGAAAAGCAGCTGAAAATACTGAGAAAGAAGAAAGGAAGATAACAACGAATGCAGAGGAAGGAAACTGTCGAAAGAGTGTGTTGAGGCCGGCCATTGTGGCGGCTGCGAATGTTGTCTGAACGAATGAATGACAACTATCCAAGGCAAAATGAAGCCGATTTGTCCTGAGAAAGAGACGCCAACATCTTGCCCCGACGAGTGAATCTCGGAGTACATGTATTCCTACAGCCCCTTGGACGTGTCTGCCCCACGACCCTGGAAAGGGTCTTTCGAGGAGACTCTTCGCCTCGAGCAGGGAGGTTTTCGGACGCTCCCGACGACAGGGGTCTCCATCTGCAGGCTGCAGGTTCGCGCTGATGACTTTCAGGCACCACGCGGGTTCTGCAGGGGAAGCCGACAAGGATCGGGCGGCCGCTGGGTGCGACCTCTGGATGTGATAGTGGAGCAAAAGTAGCGATAAAGTCGGTCTCGGTACTTGGCACAACCTAAATTAACTTAGCTCATTGAGTAAGCTTCTCTCTCTTAAGCATCAGGAGGAATTAGCGCTTACATGTTGTATTTGCCGCAATTCTTCACTGGGGAGGAATCCCCATCTTCGTTGCGACCAGCATCGGACGCAAAAAACAGGAGAATGGGTATTTGCAACCTGCACAATTCTAATTACCGCATGCTTATGACCGGCCCTGAATCCTTCGCCAAGCCGGACTCGCCATCTTTGGCGAAGAGTTCGAGGAAATCACACTTCAGCCAGAGTCTAGAGTGCAACCAGTAAGACGGAAAGTGGGCGTGATGCTCACCTGGACAGCGCAGCAATCATTTAGGATGCAGGAGGGCTGAAAATGATGGTGTCAGGCAGCATCGTTCACATGAACGCGTTCAATTCCGGTCGTTGGCATCGGCGTTGCCAAGATCGTCGCCGGTATTCATTGCCGCGACTAATTCCGAGTTCATATTATGACTGCGGTCTATCCATGCGCAATTGCTTTCTCCTCGGTTCCTCATCAGAGCCTTTTTTGGTCTTCCGTTCGTCCTTTGAGTCTCGAGAATCTCAAACTCCCACAATCCTTACTCCTGTCTTCTTGACAGTGCCTCTCGTTTAAGTCATTCCCGCCAGTATGGTGTCCACGCTCTTTCATACCCGGTTTCTGCGGGCCATCACCCTAATATTCACTCTTTTCACTTCCATAACCCTCGGAAGCCAGCTATTCACCGCCAACACTGTGCCAGAGGGGCTAAGCGCAGGATGTTCTAATGCTCTCATGGCCGATATCGCTTGCGGTAGCGGCATCACCCTTTTCACCAGAGGGGAGTATTATCCTCTGACAGACCTCAAAGCACTTTGCGTGGACTCCTGTGCCTCTGCACTCGAGACCTACCACGGCGATGTGGTTTCCAGTTGCACTGCCGATAACTGGCCCGAAGAGATGGAGGTCGACATGCCGCTCGTAATGATCAGCGAGCTGCTGAGATATAACTACAACCTAACTTGCCTGACAGACAGTGGCCGCTTTTGCAATAATGTCGCTGCCGCTTTCGCCGCGTCGCGGGATCCGGAGGCGGCGAACGTACAAGGTGCTCTGCCTGCCGGCGGCGACTTTGGTGACTACGTGCCGCCTGATACGTGCGACAGCTGCTTAGTGAAGAATCTTCGGTTCCAAGCCGGATCTCCTTACTTTGACGGGCCAAGGCTGCAGGCTCAGTCAGTTTACGAGTCTCGCACCGCCGATTGTGGCATCGCGGGAGCCCCTCTCGTCACTACAACGATCAGTCTGTTCACGTAAGTGTCAACTCCTTGTCGAACTAAAACACACACCGCGAGGTGTTCAATATGTTACACACTTGAACATTGGAGAACGTTATCTAACACACACCATTCGTAGACAAACAACGGCGGCTCCGACGCCCACCCCAACTTGCACGGGGAAGACATACTCTATTCAGCCAGAGGACGATTGTAACTCCATCTCCATGTCACAGAGCATTGGAACGGAGTGGCTCCTCTGGGACAACGAGTTGCTAGCATTCTGTCACCAGTTCCCTACCGAAGGAGATCTTTGCTTGGTTAACACTTGTGATGTCTATACCGTCCTTGAGTCTGACACCTGTGACAAGATTGCAAAGGCTCACGGCATGACTGTGACTCAGCTCCTATCCTGGAATCCTGTAGGTGTTCCTTGTGTTATTATAAACACGACTCTGGAAAAGAGACTAATTTGCGCTACTAGTCAATTAACTCT